TTTTCAACACAACTTTATTTAGCAATGAAATTTACTGTCTTAGTACCCAGTTTCATTTCTGAACAAAAAAAGTCTCAAGGTGAGTATGCTTGAGGTACGACACAGATTAGCATCTAGTATGGTTTTGCTGATGCTTTGCCCGGTCATATTTTTTACTACCTCCTCCTGGGACTCATGTTATATTTAGGCAGTCTTTGTCGGTACATGGTTTTATCAGACTGGACAGATAAAACTAGTAGCTTATGAAATAACTCTGTCTGAAGGGCAGCATTAGGCTTAGCTTGATCTGAAGGGGTGGATATGTGCCACGATCTTGATGCGAAGCTATCAACTTCCCCAGTCTTCTAGCTTCTCAGGTTCCCGAGCTATCAACTTACCCAAAAAAGAAACTTTCACGGGCCAGTACGGAGCACCGATTGGAACCCATTTCCCAGTAGCAGGATTGCTCGAAAGGACTATATTCACCCCTCCAGCATCAGTGTCTTCGAGGTAGGGATTTATGGCTGCAAAACGTGGTCCCTGATAAAACAGCGAACGCTGGATTTAGCGGAAGACGGAGGGTCTTTTTAAGTATATGAACGATTAAGCTTCCCATCAAATGAGTAAAGATCATCACTTGTCAGTTCGCCTCATGAAGTTCGACCACACGTACGGCTCCCGACACAGGGACAGAATGCAGGCTGCTTGTGTTATAAACTGCTTCTAGGCGGCTCAAGGTCCAATGGGCCTGGCAAAATTTGCTTTGGTCATCCGGATGCATCCTGATTCATCCATAATGATTTTCCAGATAGCTTTTGGGTCAGTGATGAGGAGGTAGGGAGAGGCGGAGAGGGAGGAGGCGGGAGGAGGGTGGAGAGGGGAGGAGGAAGATAACAGGCGGCCTTTTAAAAGATGAGAGTTCTCATATAAGAATGAGGTAGACACAAAAATTTTGATAGAAGTGTAAGAGGGATTATTGCTTCGCGTTCTGGACTTCAAGCGTTTTTTTAACACTTCCAAGAAACGCGGTTTGGAGGCCTTCTCAGCAACAAAGGTCTTTGTGCAGACGAGCAAAGGATATGTGATTCAAGCATTTTTTTTTTTTAAATTTTTGGGGTTTTTTTTTTGATGGTTTATGTGTATCGCAGTGCAGTCCATATGATCATCATTGATTAATGTGCTCATTTCAGCCCTAAATCCTCTGTGAATTTTCCCGAGCTCCATGCCCGGCTATCTGTGTTGTGTGAATTCCGATTCTATGAATTCTCCCGTGATCCATCCATGCCCGAATTTCTCACTGGTATTGCGGATGGATGTGTTTATGCACAATGAAACCACCAAACCACCACCTATCTTTGGTGTCCTCCTGTGTTCTGTTTCCATTTCCCAAGTTTTCTGCTACAACATT